CCCAGCCTTCTACAGGCCTCACTGCATTTCTCGCGACCTCCATAAAGTCTGGGCTCTCATAGTCTGTCCTTAGCATTTGCCAGTTACGGTGGAAAAAAAAAATGTAACTGATGAGATTAAATTCAGGAGTTTACCATACAAAAAAGTGGTCAGTACATTTCCACCAGTACACAGTATGCTGCAACACTATCATTGTAAAGCTAGAAGCCACTAAAGTTTCAATATCTGGTAACATCAAGTATCTCTAGAAATTCTCTAGCCGGGTCACGTTAGACTGTAGAGTTCTTGTTATATAATTTATATATGTTTCTCACTGCAGAGACCCATTTGTACAGGAAACAGATTAGAAGCGTTTCTCAACCTAGTCCAGAAAGTAAAACTCCAGACAAGAATCTTGCTTCAACCAACCAGTTGAGTATAAAAATTTATAGTAACAGTAATTAGTTGGTTGAAACCTCTGCAGGTTATAGCTAATGACTATGCTGGACTTTTCTACCACCCCCAAGTAACTCCTGCACAGCTTAACTCTCCCAGCCTAAGCAGTGTTTTCATGCCCTATCTTCCCCTATAGGCCACTTACAAATGCATGAGCTTGAGTACCCTTAGAAGTCTCCTGCTCCTCTGTCGGTTCTGAGTTTCCCTCAAAGCCCCCACCCCCACCCCCACCCCAAGTCTCTCCAAGTACTCTCCTGGGCCCTCTACAGACTTTCACTTACCAGCCTACGCATTAGACCAGACCACATTTGAGGGAGCTATGTCTTTAGCTACTGGCACAGGCCTCTCCCTTGCCTCGTGTAAAACATTTTCAGATATCTCACTATTGGGCTATTATCCTGACCCTTGATTTTTACAGTTCGTGCAAAACATTTGTATCTTCCCGAGTGGGATTTTGGCTGTGTATAGCTATGCCCAGATATTTCTGAAAGTATGCCAGGTCTGTTTTAAGATCGCAGACCCGTATGGCTACATCTCTTAATTCAGAAACTGTCCAGGGCCGACTTACCCAAACTTTACTTCCATACAGGCCAGAAACCCCTGCTGGGGTAACATTTTGGTAACTTTCTTGCGTTTATTCACAGTTTTCGAATGAGTGTCATATTCCTATTGTTAACCCCTACTGCTTTCAGTACTGCTATAACTCCCGCTGTTGCTATGACGATCTGACTTAAGATCACTACCAGATTTGCTATATGAGTGCTCTGCTTTGGATGTGTGTGTCATCCTCGTCTCCTTGAGGTATGCTGTGGGAGTGGAACCTGGAGGTTCTGTCTGTTTCCTCTCAGCGCACATGCCTTCCCCTGCCTCATTTGGGGTGGGGTACATGCTGCCTGTGACAGAGCTGCTGCTTGCACATTGAAAAGGGGGGGGTCTGTGAGTCAATATGGCCTCTGCAAAACAATCAGCTCACCCACTACACTTAGGCACTTCTTCCTCCTTAATTTCTAGGACTGGACGCAGTGTCATAGTATATCTTGCCTCTTTAGCCTGTTACCATTCTATCCCATGCTACTTTTTAGCCCTTATCATCTTTGACATTTCTTTATGGTGCTCTGCTTCCTAGCACCATATACTAAATGCTCTCCCCTCTTTTCGCTTCTGTCTTTTCTCTCACACCTCTCTTACACACTCCAATCTATCTCTGTTAAAGCTACCATTCTTCTGCCCCCCCCATTCCACATTTGATGGATTCTGATCCAAAATTCTATCTATTCACCCTTTATTCCATCCCATGCTGCTTCTGACTGCAAGTAGACAGTTTGATGTTGAATACAGTATATGTAAAGCTTCATGTGTACATACCTGTATATTCTCTTAAATTGTCTTGCATGTCGTATGTCATACTGGGGCCACACCCGCCAAGACAGATTCCTTGTATGTTTAACATACTTCGCCAATAACGATCTGATTGTGATTCTGTTTATGCAAAGAGTAACTGTAACTGATCTTTAGTCTGCTGTATTCTAACACTGACCCAATCCCTCTTCTAATGAAACATCCTGAATACCTCTTCTCAGTCCAAAACGTCAACAGTTCATCAAGTTTAGCCTAACCTGTCCAATCCAGTTCCGTGCCTTTGATCCTCTCAAAAAGAAAACACTTTCTGCATAAAGAATCTTGTGTCACAGCCAGAATCGGGCCCCCTCCCACGGATCAGCCCACAGGCAAATCGCCTGACTGGAAAACTTATATTAAAAAGGTGGTTCCCTTGCCATTTTTTTTAAGGAATATCCATCGAATTTTAGTCCCCTGAACTGCCTGGTCTTGCAGTGTTGTTTGTGAAGCCAATTAACTGCTGAGAAATTCACTCCCTAGTCTAAAGGTTCCATGGACTTACATACCCTTGATACATCATGCCCAGGCATGATCGGAAACTCTCCACCAATCACAGTAGCACATATGAAGTTAAAAATTTATATAATTACATGAAGCAGAAATCCACAGCAAAAAAAATGCCAGGTTTCATGAAAGCCAACAACTCACATGACCCTTGGGGACTGTTATTACCGAACTCTACTGAAATGACCATCACCATACTCAGTAGTGTATGATGTATTTAATTGACAGTTAATAGTTGTCTTTTACCATGGTGCACAATGTACACATGTAACATTTCTGATTCATATGTGAATGAATGTTACATTTATATAGCGCCTCACAGAGCCAATGGGCGCTGTGTCACTGTGTAACACCCACCTGCATGATGCAATGGCAGCCATTCTGTACCAGTACCTTCACCACACAGTAGCTAAGGTGGTGAAGGGGCAGGAGAGGATTCACCAGTTTGATATAGGGGATGATTAGGAGGCCAGATCTGAAAGGGCCAAAAGGGCAATTTTAGCCAGGACATCGGGGTAGCACCTCTACTCTTTCAAAGGAGGCACAGGGATCTGTTATGACCTGAAAGGGTCAGGACTTTGGTTTCACATCTCATCCAAAAGGCTGCACTGGAGCAAAGGGATCCATACAGACCACAGGATGTACTAACATATTGGCCACTAAAACATCTCTTCCAGTAGTAACCCAGTATCTTTCCCAGTTGCATACAAGTACTAGCCAGGCCCAAACCTGCTTCGCTTCACATGGATTACCCAACCGGAAGTGCAGGTGGCCTGGTTGGTGACAAATGCTGCCAAAGACAGATTAAAGAAAAACATCCTCACTGTGGTCCTCCACATTGTTCTTTGATAAACTCCTTCCTTTATAAACTGATATTTCTTACACTTACCATATATTGAGAGTGTTATTTCTGGGTTCAGCAATCCAGGTTTTATGGGACATTCGGCGCGATCCTGTATGTGTGTCCCAGTCCCAGCTAACTCATGTCCCAGAGGGAAAGGCTCTGACCCTGCCTTAGCAAACCACTCAGTCCACCTTCTGGTCCTGGAATACATTAATGTCTGTCAGATCCAGCTGCCAGCAAAACACTGAATGTGGAACAAATTACTGCAAGTGAGTGCTGTATAAACACCATACATTGAGCAGTCAGTCACCAGCCCTGGACCCGGAGGCCGATAGTACACACTGGTTCTTTACCTCTAAATGGATGAACTCTGTGCTGATATAGAATATTAAAGATTGCAAATATTTAGTCCCTGTGACCCTGTCCAGGACAAGCAGCTAGTTGTTAGACGGATGTAAATAATACTCAGAGTTTCTGTCTCTTAAAGACCACAACTAGCAGCCGAAATGACAGAAATGTGGAGGTGTTTGTTGTGTTTACTTATTTTCCAGTATTGTTGTCTACAAGCTGCGATGGGCTGGCCCCCTGTCCAGGGTTGCTCCTTGCCTCGTGCCCGTTGCTTCCGGGATAGGCTCCGGACCCCCCGCGGCCCAGTAGGATAAGCGGGTTGGACAATGGATGGATGGATGGATGGTTGTCTACAAGAATGTGTGTGGGTGTGTTTCCTGAGGACTGGCAATTCCATAACTAGTTATGGAAGATCCATCCCAGCTTCCAGCCAATCCAGAACACCAAATACCTGATTACAGGTGCACTGGGAGTTGGGAGAGAGCAAGAATGTGCACTGTGGAGGGGTGACACAAGGACTAGATTGCGAAACACTGCACTAAACCACGTTATATAATTGTCCCAGAGCCCAGGTTCAAAAGAACATTCAATGCCTCAAAGATCATTTTAAACCATTATACATACTTGAAATGCAACCTGGACCAAGACAAGATGGATGGATGGATGGATGGATGGATATAACCATAACTGCTCCATGAGTTTCCTTATTTTTTCCATATCAGTTATTGTCTGAAGCGCTTAAAGCAGAATTAAGTTGTTGAAATGATCCTACATTGGTGGTTTTTTCCCCCCACAAATTGTCTGCATTTCCAAGTCCTGCAGTGAACTGGCACTGTGACACTACACTAGGTGTACCCCTCGCTCCCTATGCTGCCGGGGATAAGATCCAAGCCCCATCCCATTCATTCCATTCAATTACATAACCCAGATGCAATCACCCTGTATCTGATTGTCAGGGGTCTGGCAACTGAAATCTTGGGCATCTAACTGGATGCTACATGCCCCTTTACACATCAGCTTAAGGGGACAGCAGAACATGATGCTTAAAGCTTCAAGTTGAAGTTTTATACACTGCAAGTTGCCAAGCTTGTTGTTAATACCCATTGTAGATTTATTTTATTTTACAGAACTGAAATGGCAAATCTCTTTTTTACGGTAACAATGTAAATGCATTCCCTCCAGGGTGTCTCTTACTTTATGTCCCGTGCTTCTTGGGATATACTGCAGATTCACCACGACACTAAAAATCTTCTTCACTGTAGTGGGAAAAAAAACATTGTAGCCTTTTCACACATGATAACTTTCCTAAACTGTTTGGCTGTGAAACTAGCGAAGAATTTAATGTAAACCAATCAATTTAAAGATAGTAATGTTACACAAATATCGTTTCTTTCTAAATGTTTCCCAAACTACAAATCGCGTTTGTAAATTATCCCAGTGTTGTCGGTATCTTAGCAACCAATACGCGTTTAAACTTTGGGGGTGAACTTTAAGGGGCTGTTTTAATGGTCTAATTCTGGTAAATATTATTAGATAGCGCATTTCCTTTGCTATTTTTACCTGAACTGAATGGCAAACAAATCCCTTTTAACTGACCGCGGTCCGTTGCATCCATGGTAAGAAAACGGCTTTGGGTCCAGGGAAGTTCGGTAGCCAGACAAAATGTAAAATTACTTGCTTCACCAGAAGATGGTACAACTGAAATAAATATAAAGCCATTTACACAGAAACTGATAGAATACTTGTAAATTGTATCAAGCAACCTAGAGCGTTTATATTTCGAAGTAATATGTTTTTAAAATAAATGCATTTTGGGAAATTAGCATAACTGAAAATTAAACTTTTAACTTTTCTAATTAGTTAACTTTTTACAAATTTTACATTTCCATCGGTCTAATGTTCAGTTTGCCTTCTTTATTCTGAGTCAGTCAGCTACATTCACAATCTTGGGGAAGTTAGGACGAAGTGTGATTTTCGTTCATACGTTAACCATTTAATTTGCATATAGAAAGCTCACTTCTTTTGAACTATGACTCGAAAGTACAGTCCAGAATTGTCATTCGTTTTATAGCTAATGTCAGTAGTACTGTACGTGTTAGTATAAAGCTGTATCAAGTATATATTATCCCCACTTTTTGTGCTATGCTACCTGGAATAGTTTCAGGGTGTGCCCTCTCCCTGGCCCTGCCAGGATAAGTGGTTGGATGGATGGATGGATGGATGGATGGATATATTCTGCCATATTCATGTATTACTGCAAATTTATAAATCCTTTCCTAATTTCACAGTCTGTAAGGTAATGCAAACTCTGCTTTCAGAGTGCATAGCACTTACACAGGAGCTTCCTTAAGCCAGACAGCAGCCAATACCTTGCCTGAGCAATTTATCGACTGCATCTTGCAAATATAACCAAATTGCACTCAAGCCATCTGAAGTTGTCTTCCATAATAAGACAGATCCAGTTCATAGGGCATAACATGGTTCTGGAATAGCATGGAAAATGCTTTTCTCCTTCCGCAGCTCTCTGAGTCAACAGTTTTCACTCCCGCAAAGCATCTGGAATCATCCAGACGGCTGTCTCCCTGCGTCAAACTAGCTATGAACAGCATTTTTTGTGTGATAGACTAAATATTAAGATTTGAAAGTTTTAAGTGTTTCCATTTTCCTTTTCCACCCGTCTGTTTGAATGACAGTGTTATGGTGGCCCATGACTCCCAAAATGCTCTGCTCTCAACGCACAACCATTTTACAGGACCATTTACCAAGAACCCTACTTTGGCATTCATTTCTTCACCTTAAGGTACAAGGAAAGGCTGCCCAGCAGATACATGAGAGAGAATAAGGAAAAACAGCAACCCTCTGGTGTCCTTGACACTAGCCGCTGGCGTTTTCTGCAGCCAGGGCTGGATGGGTTGATGGCTGCAAGGCCATCAAGCTCCGTGCAGACGCAGAGGGAGGTGTGCCCCAGTCTACACAGCAACACCGGCTCAGCCTGTGCCTCCAACCACAGGAAGAAATCCAGTCCTCAGAAACGCTTCACTAAGGAGCAAGCGTACCTGTCTAAACAGAACCCGCAGCAACTAGCGCGGCAGGAACGTCTGGCCCAGGTGGAGCAGAGATTATCCCAGCACCCGCATGCCCTCTACCAAAACCTGAAGGAGAGTATGCCCCCTGAGGTGAGACACACCCATTCCATGTGCATGCCTGGACAAAAAAGATCCGCAGAGTAAAGGAGCCGTGTGTAGGTTGGCTGATGATGTTTGTGCTTGATGTGGCTGTTTGGTGACGTGGGTTTTGGTGACGCACATTGAATTGTTTGTGTATCCTGTTACCTTTTGGGAAAGGGGTACGTGTATGTATCTATTCACCAATTTGTGGTTGTGGTACAGCTTTTCATTGAGGTGTCATCGTTGTTGGACCCTGAGATGCCCGTGGACAGTGACGAAGTTGTGAAAGAGGAGCATTCTGCTGGTGACGCCAGTTCACAGTGTGAGACAGAGACACAGGAAGTCTCAGCCACAGGCAGCTCACAGTAGGTTAACTAATACACCGCTGAACACTGATCTATAATGGAGGGGGTTAGCCATGAAATACACAGCCTGCTGTTCTGGGTGTGTGATTGGATTTTGCAATAAGTATGCAATGCCTCAAAAAAGTCAACACACCCCTGTTAAAACTGGAGGTTTTTTGGATTAAACCAGGATAAGTCATGTCAGATCTTTTCCAACTTTTATTGTGATCTTGCAACTGACACAAATTCCAGTAAAAAAAAAAAAACGGAAACTTTTTGGTAAAAATAACTTAAAATAACTTGGTTGCATATGTGTACACGCCCTTTTATGATGGGACATGTGGCCGTGTTCAGAATCCAATCACGTTCAAACTGATGTTCAAAAGCAATTATACTCCTGTCAGAGATGAAGTGATGATCCTGATTAACCTGAAATAAGTAAATAAAGATCAGCTGTTTCTGTCAGAATATGTTGACATCTTCTTGGTTGCATCCAGTGCTGTTGAACCCATTAAGTGACATAAGCAGCCGCCTTTGGGTGCATATGTCTGAGGGGAAGTTGACTTAGCACCCCAACCACCCCCCCCAACACCTCCAGTGTGAGTACCGCCCAAAACTAAGCTGGTTAAGCTTGCCTGGGTGGACCTAAGAAACATCCAAGTCTGCCTAAAATTTGTCAAAACACACACATGGGTCTCACTTTCTGTGAGCATGCAATAAGTAGGCAATGCCTCTAAAAATTCTACACACTGGAGTTTTTTGTGATGTAAATGATTAAACCACGATAAATCATGTCAGATCTTTTCCCACCTTTATTGTGATATCGCAACTGACAAAATTCCAGTAAAAAAATGGTTTGATGAGACCGAGACAGAACTTTTTGGTAATTTTTTCAACAAATATGTTTGATGCAAAGGTAAGTCAGCTTACCCAAAGAACCCCATATCCATGGTGAAGCATGGTGGTGGCAACATCATGCTATGGGATGGCTTCTCTTCAGCTGGGACTGGGGTTCTAGCCAAGATAGAAGGAATCATGGATAACTCTCCATACAAATCGATTTTGGCACAAAACCCCCAGGCATCTGTTAGAAAGCTGAAGAAGAATTTCACCTTGCAACATTATAATAAGTAAAAGCATATATTCAGCTCAAGAAAGGAATGGCTTCAGGAGAAGAGTATCAGCGTTCTACTAAAGTCCTACTAAGAACCAGTGGTGCTTCAACAAAGTATCATATAAGGGGTGTGCACATTTACGCAACCAGGTTATTGTAAGGTTTTTTCCCCCAAATAGTTTCTGTTTATTTTTCATTGGTATTCTGTAGCATTAAATATGACATAATTTTTCTTGGTTTTATTTTTACAAAACTACACCCTGCAATTTTAATATGGGTGTGTACAACATTTAAATCCACTGTAATTTCAAGTTTTATTGTCATGTCTTCTGCACAAAACAGTGAAATTCTTATAATTACAGTATACTGTGCATCTAAAAGATATGAACAGATATTTCGCAAGTGGTGACTTGCAGAATGGCATGTGTGAGATTAAAAGAATTAAATATATATCGCTCTAGTACTAGCATGTTCTGGGGACTGACACAGGACTCTATTCAGCTCTAAGCCTGATGGATCTAGAGCAGGAAACCCACACCTCTGGAAAGTGAAAGGCAGCAGGAACCCCTGTGTGGTCCAGGGGCGGCTCTTGAAGCCCCTGAAGTCCCGGAGCACCATGTCCCAGGATGAGGATACCCAGAAAGCGATCAGTCAGTTATGCAGCTTCATAGCGTCACTGGTGAGTGAGGTCAAGCTCACCTGATATACTGTTAGCCGGTCACAAACGTACTCACCATATTCACCTGCAATACTTTTAGCCGGTCGCAAACTTACTCACCTCCCGAAATATTCACCTGCTATACTGTTAGCCGGTCGCAAACTTACTCACCTCCCGAAATATTCACCTGCTATACTGTTAGCCGGTCGCAAACTTACTCACCTCCCGAAATATTCACCTGCTATACTGTTAGCCGGTCACAAACTTACTCACCATATTCACCTGCAATACTGTTAGCCGGTCGCAAATTTACTCACCTCCCGAAATATTCACCTGCAATACTGTTAGCTGGTCACAAACTTACTCACCATATTCACCTGCAATACTGTTAGCCAGTCGCAAACTTACTCACCTCCCGAAATATTTGCCTGGTATAAGATTGCGTATTTCTTTAAATAGTCCATTATGCAGCTCTGGAACACAGCAAAATTGTTATTTTGACTTCCTAAACCATTTCTCAATTCATGAGAAATGTAAAATATACATGATTCTCACTGATGAAGGGCTTCTTCCTTGCTTTATGGGTCTTCAATCCTGCTTCTAGGAGCCTGTTATGAATTATCCTAGCAGTGCACATCACACCTCTTAATATTTCCAATTCCCTTTGAAGGTCTCTTGAGGTCATTCTCCGATTCATGAGAAACTGCCAGATAAGTTAATTGTCATCTCTTAGAAAGTCGCTTCTGCCCTCTACCTGGCTGGTTTTTGGTCATTCCCAGCGTCTCCTACTTCACCTTGTTCTTGTGTGCTGCTGTCTTAGAAACTTTGAGCCTGGAAGCAACCTGCCTCCAGTGTAGCCTTCTGCCAGCAGAACCAAGATTAAACCAGGATTTTAAAATGCAGATGTATTTTTGTAAATATAGTGTGGTTCTTTATTTTTTCCAGAGCTGTGTATTTGGGAACACTTTACTTGAGTATCTAAGTGTTAATTATGTACTGATCCCATCGTTGTTCACACTTTACTGCATCAATTAACCAGTATCTAAGTGTTAATTATGTAATTATGAATTTAGAGAAAAGGGATGAATATCAGTAGTCCAGCTGCCTAGCTGTCATGCTGCTCTGTCCCCACCCAGCCTGGTGAAAGTGGCAGCCTGGACGAGGCCACCCTCCTGGACCTCTTTGACAGCAGTTACGAGAGGAAACAATCACAGACCTTCCCCGTCCAGGTGGTGTCGCCCTCTAGTGTGCCAGACAGGTTGTGCCGTTCCCTGGAAGACCCACACCGAGTGATGACCCAAGATATCCCGTCTAACCAAGAGGCACCCGAGGTAACCGGCATCACGCTCAGAACTGCACAACAGTCAGACTGTGCTGAATAACACACTCATACACAGGTGTGCCACAAATACTGGCTGCTGTACTATTTGATACCATTAATAATCCGTTTAGCAAATTGTCTGCCAAATTTGCACTGTGCCGTAAGATTGTCAAAGGATTAATAAACTGCCAACTGCCACCAGCTTTCTGAAAACCTGCGGGCATTGGACAGCTTGCGTAATGTATCAAAATTTAACGAAATAAAGTAAATGGCAGCTATCTCTAGTGGCTCACTGGGTATATTAGTGTATTTGCCTATATTAGTGGACACCGGCAGGGTTGTGGCTCTGTTTCCATCTGTATCCTTCTTTTGTTCAAATGGTTTTTACCTATGTACTCTGGTTTGATCCCACAGTCCAAAGATTTCGGTTATATAGCTTGGTGCTTCAGATGGGTCTTTGGCTTGTGTCTGTGCGCTCTCTTATTGCCTGGCATCCGTCCTGCGCTGGGATAGGCTAACAGTCACCTTCACTCACCTGCAATCAGTTACTATGTTCCTGTTCTCATATTTCCCCGGTTTGTTAGTCCCTTTGTTAGAATCAAAATGGTTGTTTCTGCTGCTTGTTCCGCTCCCCCAAACCTTTGAAGTAAATGTTAAGAAAAAAGTCTTTGACGTAATTCTGGTATTGTCAAAATAATAGGGCTACCTAGCTAGCACCACTGGTTTACCATGGTAAAAGCCCAGTTTCCCATATATTGTTCTGTGATCATATTTCAGTATCTGACAGATCACTTGCATAGTTTTTGCTATCTGTCCTCTATACCACACAATGCAGAACAGCGTAAGAGTGACACTCTCTTCTGAAAGACAGCATATAAGTAAATATATACAGTAGAATACATATAATACTGACCAATGACTACCTCTGACAGTAGTATTAGATTATCTGTATTCAATCAACATTACCTGCATTTTCCAATTCATTAATAACCAAATCAAGTACGTTTATTAGTCATTCAAGCCATATACACAGTATACAGTACAAATGTTGTTGTATTGGTTACTTCTTGATGATGCTATCTGTCACAAAGACAAAAAAAATGCAAGTTAGAATCCAGGTACAGAGTTTTATTGAAAAATCCAAATTGGATGCAGGACAAAGGCAGATCTGGTGCAAATAGTATCGGGAAAACCTAGAACGAGAAATCAAGCCAAGGAGCACGCACTAGGGAATCCAGAACCAAATCAACCACTTAGATCGGGACTCAAGTAAAACAGACGAGACTTCACACTAAGGTGAGAGTCTCAAGGGTTTAAGCATGCGATTGGAAATACCTGACAGGTGTATACAGTCAGGAACAGGAACAGTGTGCTTAGTGTTCAGGAGAGGGGGATCGCTAACAAGAATTGAAGGACTGGGGTGGTGTGACAGTAACATAGTAATATGATACTACCCATCCATGTAACTGCTTGTCCTATTTGGGAACACAGGGGGTCAGGAGCCTACAGTATGGCTGCAGGGCAGGGAACAACCCAGGATGGGGCACCAACCCATCACAAGGCACAAGGCAGGGAACAACCCAGGATGGGGCACCAACCCATCACAAGGCACAAGGCAGGGAACAACCCAGGATGGGGCACCAACCCATCACAAGGCACAAGGCAGGGAACAACCCAGGATGGGGCACCAACCCATCACAAGGCACAAGGCAGGGAACAACCCAGGATGGGGCACCAACCCATCACAAGGCACAAGGCAGGGAACAACTCAGGATGGGGCATCAACCCATCACAAGGCACAAGGCAGGGAACAACCCAGGATGGGGCATCAACCCATCACAAGGCACATTCACACACTATCCACTCACACCTATAAGCAACTTGGTAACTCCAATCAGCCTCAGTATGTTTTTGGACTGGGGGGGGGGCACAGAGAAAACCCCACAAAGGCACAAGGAGAACATGCAAACTCCACACCCACAGAACCCTGGAGGAGACTTGAACGCTGATCCCAGAGGTGAAAGGTGACAGGGCTAACCACTGCACCACCATGCCAACCCATAAAATGCTGTTTTACAATGAATTCATTATTCTACTCTCATTCTACACCATGTTGTTTTGAAATAATCAGTTCATTACACTAAGTAATTGGATTTTAAGTTTGACTTCATCAGTGATGAGTAGCACAGTGATTCCCTGGGCATCACCATAGCCTCACACCCTCCGGGTTCTGGGTGTGAATCCCACCCCTGCTCTGTGGGCTTCTTCTTGCAGTCCAAAAACATGTTCAGGCAAACTGGTGTCTCTACATTTCCCATAGGGTGCATGTCCTTGTGCTGGGTGATTTTTACCTAGGCAAATTCCGTAAGCTTTCACTGGGCAAGCGGATACATAGATCGATTAATGACTGGGTCATGGGAGTTTTACTTACACAAAAATGTTCTGAGGACAGAAGGAAAAATGATTGGTTCTGAGAGATAACCAATCAGACTGTAGAGCAGGTGGGCCCAAGTTGTCACTACCGAAAATGTTACACCTACCGAAAATGTAACTTCCGCTACTACGCATGCGCACGCTAGCGACTTCTGGAAGGAGGCGTTCTATTTTTACGGCATCGCGTCACATTTCATCGTCTGTTGATTTTTGATAAGAATGTCGACAGCGAGAAGAAAGACAAGATTTAACCGGATAATGATGGAGTCCTTCGACTTTAAAAGATTTTATTCCGCATAGGCCTTTAATGCCCAACGTGCTTCAGAAGGAGCAACGTAAAATACAGGGTATGGCCATCAATTTTACAGTCAAAGGTGACATTACTTTAATGTTACCATTATGTACTACTCCCAGTTCGATGTGCTGTGAAGTTACTTAAACTAAGTCTGCTTTTTTTCTCCTTAGTCATTTCATTTCTTAATTGTATCAGTGTAATTACCACACACTCGTGTCAGTTATGGCAGTGTCTTGTGGTGCTAAATAAAGCTAATTATATTTGTTTCTGACAGACGACGGATTGTTTTTTCTTGGGCCAAACCGCACAACATAAACATTGTTTATGTTGTGCAAATAAAAGTTCTTAACTATTATTTTGGTGTGACTTTTTTTTTTTAGAAAATGCTGTACATATATCACAGCCCCTTGATAAGCAATATGGGTACACAAGATTGATATACACCCCAATTTTATTACGTTTTCTAAAGAAAAGGCATCTATTCAGCAATACCCTTGGGAAAAACCTTATGTAAGATTACTGTCAGGCACTACAAACAACGCGCACACAGATGCAAATATTACAATCGGCAAAGCAATATGGTTTAAATACCACACTAAAGTGACGGCTGAACTACAAATATAAACATCAATGACCCATTTCACAGTACGTGACCAATGAATGATGATACACGATGTCCAAGCCCTGAATCACGCAATCACGGTCTGCCGCAAAATGTGAATACATGCGCAGTATCGGGCCTGTGGAAGTGTACATTACGCATGCGTAATAAAGAAGTGCCAGAAAATGTGGTTTCGTGGACGCATGCGTGATGAATGTGCGCATGCGTAGTAGCGGAAGTTACATTTTCGGTAGGTGTAACATTTTCGGTAGTGACACAAGTACCTAGAGGTGGTGGAACCAACCAATCAGATATCTTGGTCCTGCCTAATCTAGTTGCTTGGACCCACCTCCTCTATTATCTGATTGGTTATCTATCTGAACCAATCATTTTCCCTTCTGCCTTCAGAACATTTTTGTGCAAGTAAAACTCCTATGAACTAATAAGCGACATCTGCTTATGCATAAAACTAGTGGTTTAAAGTTTTGTTCATCATACCACAGAGTCACCTAGAGAAGCACTGATTAAATATTGGGCCTGGTACTGTACTTCAAGCCACAGGTATCATGGAAGCAGACTGCATGTGAAGATGATGTTCCTGAGGACCAAGGGCTCATGCAGCCAAGCCTCAAGGTGGGTCTGCCTAAAAAGTAGAAGAGAGCTTAATATGGGGGGTGGGGGGCTGGGACAACTTAATAATTTAAATGAAAAGGTCTGTTTTTTGCAGGCATGAAGCAAAACTAAATACTGGGGGGGTTCCTCTCTGGTTCTTACATCCCTGGGGCCTCCTATCTGAGCTGCTAATATTTCAAAGTCAACAAGGAGAAAATGGCTACTGTTTGTAATGATGAGCCTTCTGCAGGACGAGGAGCTGAAGCAGCTTCCTGTGACCCTGGCCTTCAAAGAGTTCATACACCGCAAGGGGCTGAGGGAGCCCAGGGTAAGACAGCAGCCTGTACTCATCACTTTGAGACATGAACTCAGCAGACAAACACTTCACACCAGTCGTTCCCAATCCGGTCCTTGAGGAACTGCAGACAATTCACAGTTTTGCTACCTCCCAGATCAAAAATATGGACTGTCTGGTGGGAGCAAAAACGTGGACCGTCTGTATGTCCCTGAGGACCGGGTTGAGAAACACTACTTTACTGTGTTCTACCACAAACTATGATGTGCATCTTCACTATTTACTTAACCTTAAGACTTAACCTTTGGCAGGAAAGTCCTTCACCACTTTGACTTTCCTACAGTGTGTGTAGTTTCATGGAGTTTTTTTGTTCTATTAAAGTGTCAGATCTTAACTCCACTGGCTTACATGTGTCTTCACAGTTCCTCCGCACTCTTTTCTCAAATGAAGAGAAAAAGGGTGAGAGAACCAGAAGCTTCATGAACACTATGACCTCCACTTAACAGAGGAGCATGGCGATCTTATGGCAGCTGCTACTCATCATTACTCATCAGCTACATGGATTCAGTATCAAAGACACGGTTTTGATGCCACTCTGAGGTGTGAATGTCACCTACTCCATATACAATGTGTTTGCCTTGGGTCTGAATGACATCTTCCTGGTAAACTTAACCTCTGACCCTCTGCAGTGACTTCATTCAATGTTAGCCCCAAATCGAATGTGTACTGCTATACAAAACTGGTGCTCTAATATAACTTGCAATACTAATTTACCTGAGTCTCCTATTTTCTCCAGATGTATGTCTTGCTCACAAGGTGGAATTAGGCAGTTTAGCTTGTTACCCTGTTATATATTGAATAATTTCATTTAAGTTTGTCATGTTGATTTAAATATATTTTAAATAATGAAGAATTGCACAATAATATTATGGGCCAGTGACTCACAGTTCAAAAGTCTTTGTTGTCAAAAGAGGGACTGGGCGCATTCATAACGCAATTGATGCAACGGACAGTAGATGCTTTTGGATCCACTGTGTACAAAACATAATGGAAGTGAAATTATTTTTAAAGTAGTTTTTGCTTTAATAAAAGGCCTATAGAACCAGTCTTGCATTTCAAATGGCTACCAGATCATAATGGACGATGATATTTACTGAGCTGAGAGGCAAAACTGTATAAAATACACATAGTCCAACAGATGGCAACGTATATTTTAAGAAAAACATAGTTCCATGTTCAATTTTAATCGAAAAAGCTTCTGTAAATCATTACCTTCTGTCAAATCAGTCTATCGAAATAGGGCTTGAAACACAAGCGTCAATTTGCAAGGCCATGATTAGCCTACCCAACCAACTTCAAAAGTGGCATATCAAGATGTATGAAAAGCACCTAGATGCTATTAGCCCTGATATTCCGAAAATTTTGAATTACAAAATCATAAACAGTCTATGCCAGGCGTCCCCAACTATTCCCCGAGTGCCAAGGTCGAAAAAAAATACCCGCCGGCTGGTGACCACTGGTTGCTCTCAGTATTATATATTAATGTTTAATGTTGCACTTTCTATTTTTCCATCTATTTTGGGGGCTGCTGGTGGCCCTACGATTTTATCAACCAATAGGCAGCGGGTTCCACCTGTTTCGTACCGATTTGGTATCAGGCGCAGGAGCCGGGGGAGTGCTTTGGTACCGAGGGAGCTCCCTCCGGCGACATCAACTCAGCACTGGCTACTACATTTCTGCAGCAATGATTCACAGAAAAACCAAAGCGATCGCTGCGGGACGGCGCGATAACAATCGCTTTCTTTGTACGGTAGTAAGATACGGACCGGCGGTGGGAGTCGTGATTTTCTCCTTGCTGTCCCTCTGGGCTGTAATTGCTATATACAGGACTATGACCGGTGAGAAGAAGAACAAGAAATACGCGTCGGAGAGGAAAGAAATCTCAACTGAAAGACACGCCCCATGTGACAGTAAATTAACAGGTAATAAGTACGCTTCCCTGCAGCATAAAACGCAATATGAGTACAGACCATACACAGTTCTCTAATGCAATAGCAGTAGTGTGAGCTATGTAAACGCTCTGAAGGCTACATTTTGAATGAATATGAAATACCTGCTGTGTGAGGATTTAAAGAAAAAGAAAACTTTATTTTTGGATTAGCGTAGGTGATTTAGATATGATCTTTTTTCATTCTGCAGGTGTATGTCACGTTTTCTCTGGGGAAAAAAAAGCAAAAAAAAAATTGTTTGGTACTTTCTGCCAAACATGTAATAGAAGAAAATAATACTTTAACATACAATAATACGCCAAATGGAAAGCCAAAGAAATAATAACGATTTATAAAAGAAATTAAAGAGAAAGTATCAGCATAACTTAATTCATAGAAGGTCATGGACATGCCATTTGGTGCTACCCTATATATCTAACAGCCAGTTAGTATAACGTCCTTTCAGCTCATTGGAAGTTCAAATGCCAGTCGATGCGTAGATGCAATATGGGCGAGAGTGAAAGAGCAACAGCTCAGGTTTCAGTATGAAATCATTGCGTTAAACGTTTTCAGTATCTCCTGACCTATTCGGTTACTTAAACAACGACTAACTATTACGGCTGTAATTATTCTAAAACTAGAGAGCACATACGAAGGTCATTTAGTTTAGATCACAATGGTTCAAATACACGAAAGATATTTTAGCCGATAGTACGGCGCCTTACAGGAGCTGATTATATATTTCTTCCAAGCGCCATTATTTTATGTACTTGTGGCCAGAAGAGCGTCCATACTAAATTAGTAGGATTCCGATAATGGTGGTATTAAGCCCAGTCATTGAAAAATGAAACATAACATATGTCCTTGCTAAAACGAATGCTTTAGGCAGACGAAAGAGGGGCCTTTACAGATAAGTATAATGTAATGTAATGTTGTGTCTTAATTGTTTTCCTTTTTGAAAAAACATATTTTTATTTTAGAGAACTCCGTGGACTGCAGAGAAGACGTATGGCTGCCCGCTGAACTGCAGAACCTGTGTCCTTGTGCCACAACAATAGATGAGCTAAACCAATGTTTTGAGTCAGGCTTGGGAAAGGACCAGGGAGAAAATCCCGCTCAACTTCATGCAAGCAATCAAGCTGAAACTCCACCTGCACACAGTGACGTCAGCAGTTACATCATACCAAAATTCTGCATGGTTGGCCAACAAGAACTCAGCTGCAGCGGTAATGATAACTATCACAATGACCGGCCTGACCTCTCAGGACAGCTGACTGGTGGTTATCATGCTGATACGAAGACTGACAGTACCATTGAAGAGATTGGAATGGCTATAGGAACCTTGGTGTCTGGCTGCGATATACAGGTACAAGACAACCCCAGGCTGCCCAAGATGGACACTGAAGTTCACGGTCAATTTCCAAATAGTCATCACTATCACGAACATGAGTGTCTCAGCATCCATATAAATGATGATTCAGGGGCAGGAAATATGACCGAAAGTAAGACAGAAAGTAATGTGATGGGTCAGATTTGTAACAAGAACGTGGACGTGAATGTCACAGAAGGGTCCCTGGACAGTAGCCAACGATTTGCAGCGATCAGTACAGAGGTTGGTGACTCCAATCAGGTTGAGCGTGAGCATGAAGGACTTGTGGATATCTTGGACACAAACTGTACTTTCCCAGAGAAGTATGCAGAGGATCAAGGAGATGCAGACCCTGCTGAAAGTGTGTTAAAGGAGTCTAGGTGCCAGTACTCATTAGATGGCGACCCCATGGGTAAGAGGGTAGTGGTCGTACCACCTATGCCCCAGATGGTGGCGCTCCACTTTGGCGTGCACTACATTACCAGCTCACCCCCCCAGCAGCTGGCCGTTACAGGCAGCATCCCGGAACTGGGTGACTGGACCAGCTTTGTGCCACTTTGCCCGTCCCCCGATGGGTCGTGGGTCGACACTGTGGCACTGCCTGCAGACATACAGGCAGAGTGGAAGTTCGTTCTGGTGGAGGATGGCAAGATTCAGCGCTGGGAAGAGTGTGCAAACCGCCGCTTGGAGACTGGCAGTGACAGTGACATTCTGCTTCACAAAGCATGGGGCATCATCTGATAAACAGAGGAGGAGGGCATTAAGGCGGATAGCTTGTGTGCACCATTGCAGTAAATGAATTTACGAGAATATCAATAAAGGATAGCACACTTCAAGATATTACTAGTTCTGATATACAGTCAAGCCTTCCACATCATGCTGGAAAAATCACAAAAATTTTTGGTCCCCTTGGCAAGTGAAGTGAAAAGATATGAGAAACATGATACACAAAAATCACTGCGAGATATCACGCAAGAGGCTGCAGTAAACACGCCTGTCATTCTTTAAGCCAGTACTGTACATATGTTTTATATATTTGAGTTACTAAACATTTTGTGTCTTGTCTGCAGCTTTTTCAAAACTCCCAAAAAATTCCTATTTAATTTCTTATGCCGAACCTGCGATATATCAAAACTGCAATGAAAAGCTGCGATGCAGAAGGGTCGACTGTATATCGTGTAGATGTTGTTCTTTGCCAATTGCCCTAAAGTTTAAAGCTGTAGTGCTTCTAATCTATGCTCATGTAGCAATGTTGGCAAACCACAGATAATTTTTGTTGCTTGTTACAGAATTTGCTATTTAGAAAGTATTTAGAAATAATTTTGGACAGCATTGCATCACAGGAATATTAATGTCAAGTGTTGCCTGCCAATGACACCTCAATATGTATATATTTGACTAATTCCTATAAAATGTTTGACTTTTTGCATTTCACTGAGCCGAACTGGTTTCCCAGATTCTCATCTGAACAAGAGCTGAACGGTGAATTGGATTAACTAAACTTTAATTTTGATTATAATCAAATTTTGTTACAAAGCATCAGTACTTAAGTCTTTAACACATAATACAAAAGAGCCAAAGCCTAAAAATGTGAGCATTTATTTTGCTAAAAAAAGCATTCAGTCTTGAAATTTTCATAATCAAATATCCTTTGCCTTATGATTATGATTCATAGTTTTAAGAAAACATTATAAATGCCAAACTGAAACAGCATGTCAAGAGTCTGTCCTTGTACATCAATTCTCGTATCTTCTTTGCCTGGCATTAAAACATCTTGCGAATGCGTTTCCATATCAGGTTCAGTAAATCACAGAAGAAGAAAGGCAGCACATTTCCTTGGGTACAAGATAACACAAAACCAACCTTATCTGTCACTGGGACCCTGTACTGAATAAGCAGTCATGGATGGATGGATGGATGGATGCCATCTCAGTGCCCTTCATACTGCAGAATTGAGGATGAAACTAAACAGAAACTCATGACTCACAAATTCTTGCCTAACTTGTATATTGCTCTTGACACATGGGTCTACTAAAGAAATAAATGTAAACTTTTACAGTAAAGTTGAAACTACCACAACAGAAGACAAACATTGTTTTATAAATATTCTGAGGTTTCTGGTGCAAATTGATGGTGGCATAGAGGCCAGTCCTGAGTTGGAGACTCACACATAAACATGGAGTAGTATGTATGACATGGCTACTCCCAGTCGGCACAGGACACTCGTTCATCGCCGGAGAGCCAGCGGAGGACCGCACACTGGTTTTTGGTCCGCAGATTCTGGACACTGCCCAGGTTTCTCTGCAGGATTTCCCTCCAGTGTCAGTTCTAGTTGCTGGTCAACTACCAAGCTCAAGCATTTAAGTTGTTCATTAGGCACGATGTGCAATGGATTAAATTCATTTAGAGACATGACTTGGCCGTTAGGGTGGAGGCATGCCGGTGCCAACATTGGTGACCGAGAGTGAGATCTGGGGGCTGGAGGTCAGTAGTGCATAGACAGGGGATCGACGGCCCGGGTCCAACCCGAGCTCAGTCTCCTGCGGTAAGGGGGTGAGCCTTGAGGGCGTTTCTGGCAGACCACTTCCTGGTGAAGGAAGAACACAAGGTCAAAAAGACGACCAGCAAACCACAGGACATCAAGAGCAGAATGGCCACTGCTGCTCTTACTGCTACAAGTACAAGAATGCAATTAAGAGAGCGGGAAGACGTGCGGCAGGAGATAAGGGCTGATGTCGTGAGACTCACCCTCGCAGGAAAGGCCATTGTTCCTCACATCAAAATCAGCAGCACGCAGGGTGCAAACCTCCCTGCAAACACACAGAAATACAGACTGATGAATGCATATGACCAAGGCAGGACAGTCAAAAGTATATCCAAAATATAACTATTAAGACGCTCGAGTAAATGATGCCGCATAAATACACATACACAGGTTACAGTTTTTCCTTACAGGCCTGAGGGGCGTGGCCTTTCTGGAGTAGACCGCCTGCGGGGGCGGGACTTGTCGTCCCCTGTCAAACTGCGCAGCTCCTGCACCAATGAGTGAAGTTCGAAGGTGGGGTCCTCCGCTAGGACACTACAGTTAGCCTGTAGCAGTGTAGTTCAGAGGAGAGAGGGATAACAGGACACTGAGTCCGTACAAAGAGGTAATTCAATCTAGACATTAGAGCTGCAGGTGATGGACAAGGCCTCTGACCTCTGATTGTGAAGGGTTTTTCTGGATGGTTGGCAACTCTGAGGGATGTGAGAAAATCTTTGGATTTGTCTGTTGCAGGCGCCCAGTCTGTTGCAGGTTCTGTCCCTGGAGCTCCTAGGAGTGGAGACAGAGGTCACTGATATATGGCACTACTGCCACCTGTTGTACAGGAGTGGTGCAAAAGAATGAGAAAGACCCAGATTCTGCAATAGATCTACTAATAATTCCAAAATATAAACAGTAACGAGAAGGGTGACTCCTGCCCCCCCAGCCGCCCCACCCTGAGGTCCAGGGCATGCTGGAGCTTCAGTCGGGCCAGCTCCTGCTCCTGCTGCTGCACATGACCTTGGCACTCACCGAACCTCACAGATATCTGCAGAAGAAATTAAAGAAAGCGAGGGTCCAGCACAGGAAGTGATGTCAGAGTGAGAAGTGGGTACAGGAGGCCATGTCTCATTACTTTTGTTGTGTAAGAAAGAAAAGACAGGGATACAACAGAGGGAGTTTATGGCAGGAAACAGTGTGACGTTAATGGTCTTAAAGCAGGAAGGGGTGTCACAGCGGGAGTGTAAAATAGAAGGATGCAGAAGCGTCGTAAACTGGGTGGGGGTGGGGGGGGGGGGGGTGGAGTTAAGACGTTTCCAAAGGGCCACTAAGCAGCAGGCGGCCAAAAACTTTGGAACATAATTGGATTGGATTTGGGTTGGGGGCCCAAAAAGATATGCTGTCAGGCCCAAAATCTCTACAAGCATTCCTGGAAGGGTGAATATCATTCAGAAACAATTTTTGGAAGTCTGATATACCTTGCCCAGTGCAGTTTCCAGCCCTTCCACTCTGTCCCTGAGCTGCGTCTCTAGATCCCGGAGGGTCTCCACACACCTCCGCTGCCCGCTCACGCTGGCGAGGCGCTGGCTGCGTTCGTGCTCGTCTGCCACCCAGGCCTGCCTCTGCTAGGCAGCACAGCGGGCGACTCTCAGACTCACTGGCAGCTACACGCCCAAGGGAAAGCGGCACGCAGGCGAGACCCAGCGAGGAGAACCACGAGACCAGATGCGGAGAAGGGAACCTTGCCTGGGTCAGCCTCTCCACCGTCTCCTCCAGCAGCTGCACACGGCTCTGGAGGGCGTCGATTTGCTGGCGCTTGGCGGTGATCTGCCGCTGCAAGACGACAGACGCCTTCAGGCCTAAGAGGGCATGAGAAGGAAGGGTCTTACAGGTCCAGATTTTACAGCCCCTCATTACACTATCTATCAGAACACCCTGCTGGCTCCTGCCTGTCTTAGTACCCCTTTGGAAGCCTTGACTATAATTGCCATTAATAGCAAAACGGAAGGAACAGAACTGAATGAGTGAGCCAAAAAATTATGACACTTAATAAAAAAGAAAATGTCTGCGTGGATGGCATGTGCAGATGTCAAACATCGCTTGTCAATGGACTTTTGCTATGAAATCAATAAATTTATAATATTTTACTGAATTAAGCAACTGTCCCAAGACTTTGAGTGAAGTACGCCCAAATTGGAAATTAAATATTTTTAAAAATCTGTGAATTATTATAACATTATTACATCGTTGCACAGTACTGTAGGTACAAGAAACCATTTATGATGTCATCTGTTTAATCATTAATATTTCGAGCAGTGTTTCCCAATCTGGTCCATGGCTCCATGTTTTTGCTCCCTCCAAGCTCCCTGCCAGACAGTCCACATTTTTGCTGCAAAAACAGGAGCAAAAATATGAACTGTCTGTGGGTCCCTGAGAACCAGATTGGGAAACACTGATTTAGAACATGAATGAGCCACAGGCCTTTGGTCAGCTGTGGTCAGTGAGCCCTTTCAACCCGCCTTTGGTTTCAGTAACCCGACATAGTCACATGACTAGTCTTTGCTGATATACCAGCTAAAACTAGCACTGGTTAAAACCCAACACCTCCCTGAGTTGAGCTGCAATCACCAGCTCTCCCAGGAAGGGTGTTGGTATTTTTGGCTTCTGGGAGTTTTGTCCTATAAATAAACATTCCTCTGTCTCCTTCTAGCAGAGCACCAGGATTACCACTGACCTTTTGGACAGCTGGAATTTGGCAGGGGCTCTAAAAGGCCTGAGTCAGCATGGAAGATCCAGAGAAACTTGGTGTCCAGCTACAACCACATGGAACTATTCACTTCCTCTTTACCTGCCCAGCATACAGGTCCAGACGTCCCCATCGCCTACCTTCCTGCAGAGTACAGAGTACAGGCTAACTCAAGGCAGCAGAACCTACCATGTCTGTCCGCTCCATCCATGGCCTTCAAAGTCCTCTTGGTGTGGTACAGCTCGCTGCGTGCTGCCCGTAGCTGGGCCCTCAGATGGATATTGGCGTTCTCCAGTTCTGCTCGGTGGGCTCCGTGACTCTGCTTAAGAGCCACCTGCTCCTCTGAGAAAAGACCCAAAACGCGAGTGACTCAGCCTGCACCCTCAAACGGAAAAAGGAACATGACAGTAAACAGTAGGCCTCAGAAGAATCATCAGTGAGTGACATGACAGCGTGTCACAGTATGTTATGGTAAACAGGGTCACCCGTCAAGGCGTCCAATTGCAAGCTCTGCGCTTTCAGCTCGTTGGCCAGATGCTGCCTCTCCAGCAAGATTTTCTCCAGGCTGCAGCCCTTCTCTCTCAGGGTGGCCTGCACTTCACACAGCTCCCTCTCCAAGGCTGTGGCTCTGGATTCCTGCTGTTCCAAGCGGACCTGCTTGACCTCAGTCACAACAGAGGCAGCGTCTCAAAACAACACACATACAAGTGAATATTTGCTGAAATCACTCAAGTTGGAACATATGCTGCAATCTGTCTCCTTTCAGCTACCCTCTGTCAGGTCTGTAAGAACAATGCCACCTGTTGGATTAACTGCGCATTACACCGGGCAAGCACTACAGCAAGCATCCCCAAACACCAATGGACATGTCCACACAAACATACAAATTAAGAAGTCTGCAAACCAACCTATACACAAATCTGAAAGCACTTATGCAAAGTAACCCACACACACACACATACGACCTTCAAGGAAGGCAGTCAAGGTCAGTGAAACCCACAACCAGATGGTGGCACATGCAGGCACACATGCGCACAAGCGCGCGCACACACACACACACACACACACACACACACACACAGCACCCTAACCTTCAGCTGCTGCACCTCCAGCTTGTGTTGATTCAGCTGATCACTCATGTGGCTCCCGTCTGTCTGCAAGGCATCCAGGCTGCAATTCTGCCCCGCGGCTAACCGAGCGAGACCATCCAGCTGCAGCCGCAGTCGCTTTACTGTGCCCTCCCTGTCTTCCAGCTTTAACCGCAGGGCAGCGCTCTCTGCCTTTAGCTCCAAAACACGGGGCTCAGCCTCCAGCTCCTGCCGACGGCCCTGCTTAAGGGCGGCCAACTGCACCTCCAGCAGCTTGGCCTCCAGGTGGCGCCGGTCCAGCTCCTCTCGCAGCGCATCCAAGGCAGAGGTCCGTGGCATATCTCGCTCACAAAGCTGCTGGTTCTGCTCTTTCCACAGGGTCAGCTCCTCCTGGGTCTGATGTAGATCGGCCTGCACCCGTAAGAAAAGTGGACGGGGTTCTTGAGCATACCTTCCACCCCAAAAGCAGAACATCTGTGTGCTCTACAGCAGGAATGTGGTACCATGAGCTGGGACAGCTGAGAGCACTGTTCCTGGACCTGCTGGGCACTGCGTTCCCTGATCACCTGGGCCTCTTTCATCTGGGCTTGAGCTTCAAATAACCGTTGCTGTGGCACCCCCTTCTGGTGGGAGGATAGATTGATGTGCATGCAGATATACAACAAAAGGAACGGATTGATCTGCAAGACACTAAAAACTGTAGCTAAATGTTCAGGACTACAGAATGCTTGTGTTGCATTGTCGCATTTTTACTGGCCCATAGACCAACATACACTAAGAGCACTCTGGGTGCTTTGCTTTCAACACCAGTGGTCACCAATGACCGAAACGCAACCCCTGCCCTACCCCCTACTGCATGTTTGGTAGATGGGTATGCTCACCTGCTCCAAGGATGCCTTCTGGGCCTGTACAGCAGAAAGGGTGTTCTCAGCATCATTAATCTGCTTCTGGTACACAGAGATCTGAGCTTCAGCCTGTTTCCTGGAGGTCAGGGATATGGGCAGAGGTCAGACTCACTTGTGCAAGACAGATGCACCCAATGCGTCTAAGGGTGTACTCATATTAGGTGATCTGTACCGGGACCGAGCACACTTCAGCCCCAATGTCTAATTTGTTTGACTAGTGTGATCATTAACTGTGCCTAAACACAGAATATAGACATGACATCAATGAATGTCAAGAAGTGACAAACATTTAACAAACACGGTGAAAAGGGGATCACTTTGGTCTACAGAAGAAATGCAGTGTGTGCTGGAAATTCGGGTTGATGAGAGTATCAAGGAACAACTTGGATGCAGCACACGAAAAGTCCACGATGTCAGGTAAAATATGGAACCGTCTTTTTATGCCTGCAGCATGGTTAAATGAAAATCGCTGCATTGCATTCTCCATAAATCTGTAAGAGGGTTATGTGTCACTGTGCCCAAAACAACTCCAAATAAGCCACAGAATAACGACGTTAACACATGATGATGTTGAACACAGGCTTGGGCCTGCAACGTTAGGGGCAATGTGAGCGCAGACCAGTGGGGGACTGGGAAGGGGGGAAAACTGTGCTGGACACGGTACAAGGCAACTGGGTACTGAGTACACCCAAAGTGAATAATTGATCTTTGATCATCATCTATAGTACAATGTGCTATGGGTCCATTAACCAAAGTAACTGATGCACGGCTAAATACAAAAAGCAATTATGGGTCTTTAGAGATAAGACAGAGGGCTTTCTTTCTATAGGAAATCCTGGCCAATTCATTGAATGGCCATCCCAAAAACCCGCACCCACACTGGCCCTCCATGGATCAGGTTCCCCACCCCTGGCCTGGAGGGTGGGGGCACACTGTGTTCAGAGCCACTGAGCTTCTCCCTGATCAACACCACCTCCACACCATGGAGGACCCCCTTCACTGCCCCCCAGGATACAAACACACAAGCTGCGAGGTGTGCAGATGAACCTTTTACCTCTCCACCTGCTCATTCACCAGACGGTCTGCTTGTTCCTGACATTCAGATCTCAACACTTCCAGCTGCTCCTCCAGCTGAGGGGACAGGAGACACACACTTAACGCAAGCAGACATACTGCCACGCACCTCGGTACCAAAATTACAGTCTCTCTCAGTCACCTACCGCAGGCCGGGTCAGCAACTGCGGAAAAATTATTAGAAAGACCATGAAACGGGCCGTTTGAAATATTTAGATAACATTCAGGATGTGGTCTACTTTCATGATTGGAATTCTGACAATCAGCTCTCTCCGGGAGGAAGTTTGTAAATTGCAGTGTTCTGTAAGCATATGAGAATAATCTGCATCTCCCATTGTAGCCTGAAAATGTGTTTATTTTGGCAAGTAAATCAACAAGAATAAACATTTCAAGATGTGTTTACACACACAGCCAAATATTAGTTTATTCCTAACCTCATTAACAGCAATAACAGCCTAGTATGAAGTCAGCTGATGTAGAAAAAAATCTATGGGTTACTACCAAGTTAGTGAAAATTATCTTAGCCTGTTGACTAAGATGATTTTAGCTTACAGCAGTGTTCCCCAACCCAGTCCTCAGACACCCCCAGACAGTACACATTTTTGCTGTCTCCCAGCTCCCAGGACACCTGTACCAGGTATTCTGCGTTCTTGATTGGCTGGGAGTTGGTAGGGAGTGGAAATGTGGACCGTCTGAGGACTGGGTTGAGAAACACTGGCTTACAGGATGAGAGTGTCTTACGGGCTGGAGTCTAGCCTGCAGGCCGGCATTCTCGGCCTGCAGGTCCCGTTGCACCATCTCCACGGCGACACCCAGCTGTCTCCCGTCATCCGGTCCCAGCGCCGCGAACGGCACTCCGTCGCAGTAGTCTGTGCATGCCGACAGCGCGGCGCCCACCTCCCGAAGCGCCCGCTCCAGCGCCCCCTGCTTCCGGCAGAGGTCCTCCTGTGCGTCCGTCCGCCTGCGGGACTCCAAGGCACTGCATGGCACGCAGACAGGCTAGCAGCTCAGAACCACTACGCACGTTCAGGAAAACCGGAAGGGGGAGACACTGAGGACCAATTAAACACGACTTGTGACAAATAGCCACATTATTATTGTCTGCCTGTTTTATTATTATGAGTCATCCTCAATGGACAACGAAAACAGATGCTTTAATTAAAGGCCTTTTACACTTTTGTGAATTTATAAATTATAGTCCAGCCACCCTAGGTGAACTCACTCAGGAAGAACAATGCATCACTTTCTTATCTGCTCCCTTTTAGATTTCCACATACCTGTCACTTTCACTGTGACATGTTACGTCTATGCAAGTACCATAATTTTACACCAGTTTTGACTGTCCCTGACAGCATCTGGATTACCAGATGACTTATTCAGGTTAAACCACAGCAAGTGCTGACGGCCTCCAGCAGAGACGATACTCTATCTTTGCAGCCTCTGATCAAGGTTGTAAAACTGCAGAGATTATCCACCGTACTAAAAGTTTTAGGCACTTACAAATGCCCTACATCTCCAGGTATTTGGTACCTTCATAATAATTTAGGATTTAATTCCCATGACAGTGAAGGTGTAAAGTAAAGGCTGACCTCCAGTGTGCAAGGACCTCCCTCTCCGCCTGAGCCTCCTGAAGCTGGGTCTGCAGCCTGTCCACAGCCTGCTGCAGCAGAAGCTCCTGCTGCTCGTGGAGCCTGTGCTTCTGGAGCATACAGAACAATCACCACTCTGCCATCCTCAGAAGCAGAATTACTGTATCATTACTGCGATTTTATTATCAACAAGTAAAACACTTTTATCCAATGGCTCTACAAATGTTGTAATCTGCACTTAAGCTAAATATTAGTTTCAACAATTTGTTGCATGTATATAGTACTATGAAATTTGTACAATAATTAAAAACTAGGGCAGACAAATAACACTTCTGAACACAATTAATCACATACTAAGTCTATTAAAGTGTCAAATGTCTAACCATACATATAACTGAATCACTGAATATTATCTACTATTGGCCTGGGATTTGAACCAATACCTTCTAGTCGTGCGCGCACCCCATTAACAGAGAGCAAAAGCAACTTAGAGTCCTACCTCGCTGTGGTGTCTCTGACACACACAGTCCTGTGGCGAGGCCTGCTCTAAGCAGCCTTCCCTACCCTCCTGGGCGAAGTGGCCCTCTGGCACGGCAGGCCTCTCTGTACCAGCTGGGGAAAGAGGCACACAGTCACGTGATCCAAATAGGAGCTCAGCTTCTGCTAGCTGTGTGACAGTATGACACAACTCAAGGTCTATTTCCACAGAAGGTCTTCCTCATGGATGGACGGGTGAATGGATGGATGGAATGACTCCCAGAGGAATGGCGATCACGCTGGGCCAGTGTAAGCACCAGTTGGCACACAACTGGCATGCAGGCAAATTCTTCAGACTAATCTGAATTACAGATATCGTACCTACTCTTCCAGTTAAATCCTGTGCAAATCACATTTACACATGTATAGCCCGGTACCTAGCAGTGTGCTGTTATGCCCGATACCACGAGAGACAGTTTCTAAAATAACACCTAATCGCTCATGCCTTATAATCAGCATTTCTAATGAATGGGCCAGACAGCTGTGGCTTCACCTCCCCAGCGTTGTGAAATTCCACCGCAGCCCCAGTTCTGTGCTTATGGGAGTCTGCATATCTGCATAGCCGCCTTGCGTTTGTGTGCATTTCCTCTAGGGTTTCTGGTGCCCTCGCACAGTCCAGGCAGGCAGTGACCCTCTGACCCAGCTGCCCTCAGTGTTCGATCTGTGACCAAGTGTTCTGCACAGGGCGTATGCTACAGGAAGACTGCAACCATAACGGCTAAAGCGGTCATTAAAGACATTTTAGTTTAAATGCATGATGTGTTAATGGCCTGATTTTAACCCAAGCCACCCATTACACGGTGTGCCCAGTACATGATGTCTCCATGAACTGACAATCACCCTTTAAGGGCTGTGCCTGGAGTGGACCCAACGCTGTGGTCTGTCCAATCCCCTCCAAGGTGAGCTGGGTGACACGCTCCACCTCCCTCTGCAGGTCCTGGGTGTCCCTGGTACACCGGCGCAGCTCCTCACTAGTTATTTTCACCCACAGGGAAAAGGACAAAACCGCCAGGAGGTTGAGAACGATTGTCATACACAGGGTGAGATTCAGGTGCATATGACATACAGATCAAGACCATTTAAACAGAGCGAGTGCAGAGCAATACTACTCAAAAAGAGGACTCAGTACTATAGGTTTCCTGTTACCAATGCAAAGCCAGGGAATCATGCCACTGGTTTAACTCGCATACAGGAGCGGGGTTTAGTGAAGCTGAAGTGAAGCCCCCTTTTCCAAGATCCTATTTGTAAATTACTTTATCCTCGAAATTCATACCTCAGTCCCTCCAGATGGCGGTTTCTTTTCTGAAACATTATCCCTGTAAAAAATAACAATTGACGCATGTAAAGTGTTTTTCACCTCAATTCATTCATTCATTCATATATTTTATATACATATATATATACACACACACACACACATATATATATATACACACACTCAAATATATATATATATATATATATATATGTCTGCTTGCGTTGTATATACACACACATTCTAATTTGTAGTGATACTTAAACTACATATAGGAAAGTTAATAATTAACTATAATAAACTTTTAATACTTAAAATACTTAAAAACTATCAGATTATGAAATATAACCAAAACCCACAATTGCAGTGCGAGTGTGATGTAAATAAATTTTAACAGAGAACACAATGACACAAGTACATCGGCAGTGGGATATTACCGTCCTCCGGAGCCGAACACGAGCTCGCAACCATGCCATAATTATGAGCTGCAAAAACGGGTTTATCCACTTTATTGCTATTATGTTGTCCGTAGAACATTTTCCTCGCAAAACAGATAAAGTTAGAACAAGAATCTGAGTTTTTAGCGCAAAGCAGTGCAGACGGCTAGCTAACCCGGCTAAGCAGACAGAGGGCTACATCTCCAAGGCAACCGCTCAACTTACTGAAAACAACTGAAAAACTTTGATTTTTCAACTCAATACACGACTTTTAAGCGACACCTCATTTTGCCCATCCAAGTACCACTCTTCCATTTCTTCATCCTTTAAACTTTCATGCTATATCCATCATCTTAAAATTACAAGGACACCTGTGCGGTTTCTGCACCCCTCCTTCCAAGACTTATTGTCACAAAAAATGGGATTGTGGGCCCTGTAGTTTTCTATTGTTATTCATTGTTGATGATTAAAAGAAAAAAATACATCAAATTCGTTGGTACATGTACTATGGATGATACTATTTTAACCAGATGTTTAAGATATTTTACAAGTATTGTTATTCGGGTCCAAATAACTTCATTTCGTTGTACTTGAACTTACGTCAAGTGCCTCGACAATAAAGTTGAATCTTAATCTTAATAATGGGTACTTCGACTTAGCCACGTTATGATCCCGACATAGATTAACCACCTGAAAGTTGGCATCTATTTGCAATTTGTTAAATAAGTGGAAATGCCGCTGTAGGCTGAAATAATGTAGAATCAAACGGAAAGATTAACTTTAAATAGGTCTAATCGAAATACGCTCAAAATGGGAAATGGTAAGTCTGCTGTATGCCCGCGGGCTAATGAAATCTAAAATATGTTTTTACATTTTACGTGCTTGTCGATATAAACCGTTTTTCTGGTTACAAATCCGACATCAGTGTGGTTCTTAAGAAGCTTCATGGAAATTGTTATGGCGCCCTCTATGGATAACTTTCGCATCGCAGCTAAATCGCGTACTAAGCGCTGATATCTATTTAAAGTCGATTGTAGAGCCTGTTTAGGATGCCTTCAGCCGCCTTATTTTAGACCTCAAGAACTACAAAATAATACACAACTAATTAAAAAAATAATAATTATGAATTCAAAATCACTTATTTTGGGTACATCCAAAGACATTCGTAGTCGTTTAGTTTTCTCTATCTAATAATAGACCAGCAAAATCTACAGATAACGTATTGATTTAGAATGAATTTAACAGAGTACTCAAATGTAACATTTAAGTAGATCTAATTCGTTCAATTAATAGTACACTTGAGACCCGAGACTCGGTATTGAATAAACCATTGGAAGATAGATCGAAGGATTACTGCCGTACCCTAATATTTTGCGATCCTAATAATTTTTCTAATAATGTACGTATGATTCAGGCACGTAGCCAGGTAGCAAAATTATAGGGTTGCCCCTGGTCGGTAAAAGGTACCGAGGGAGAATCCCCGACTGGGAACCTGTACCGAGGGGTAATCCCCGGCTGGCAACCTATACCAAGGTGGGAGCGATAAGTAGGTTCGCCGGACATCACATGGAATTTATTTCTGGCTACAAGCCTGCTATGATCTGTCTTTTATTTATTGTAAATAAAGCTTTACATCAAAACGTTTGGCGATTAACAACAAAACATTTTCGAATTTTAACTGGTAAATTCAATTATTAAGAACATCATGCCAAGTGCCAAGGAATTAGTATATCTGCCAATTAATCACAAACGGGATAAAAAATGCACTTCATAAATTAAAGTTTACAACATACCAATAATGGCCTCACTAGCCATATACACGGTTCACACATAGGTTATTAGGCTACGAAAGATTACGTGTATTATCTACCAGAAAGACATGCAAGCTCTGCTGAACTGTGACCCCTATTCAGAAATATACGTACACATTCCTCTGAAGGGGTGGACCTTAATTCAGTCACACGTAAGCATGAAGGGCATCGTCCGATGGTCCGTAGTCCTCCGCTGTGGTTAGATCGCGCTGTTAGACAATTTTTGCTATTTAAATATTCAGATATTCGTATTATATTTGTTTCCATCCAGCTGGTGTTCTACAAAATATGGAGTATACAGCAGCATTTGTTTTACGTTGGGCGTAAAACATTTAGGCACATTCTCAGAAAAAAACGGCGTGTATATATGTTTACATGGCCACTAGGTGGCAAAATATACCAATTTATCCACCCATCCATCTTCCACCCGCTTGTCCTCAAACAGGGTCGCAAAAGGCCTGGAACCAATCCGAAACAAAAAGGAACAAGGCACGGATACATCGTGAATGGGATGCTAGCCCATCTCAGGGCACATGCATACACACACACACATTTGTACTCGTATGTTTGTGGGGACCATCCATTCATTTCTATTTGCAAAACCCAAATCCAACAATGTCAACCGTAACCTCTACCCATAAGTAACCAAACAAAATACAGATCTTTTGGCATTAGATTTTTATAAAACTGAGTTTCCCATTGCGACCGAAGAAGTGGTTCCCAAATCAAATTGCAGATTTTTATCACATTGGTCCCCACAATGTAATATAGACATGACCACACACACACACACACACACACGGCAAGCAGTTTAGACACACTAACCTCATGTGAAAAGGGAGCCAAGGTACCCAGACGATCCTGACATGCGGGACACATGCTGATTCCATACAGAGAGAGCAGGTGGTATTTAAGCCCAGAGGTGTGAGGTAACAGAGCTACATACAGGACCACTGTGCTGGACTGTGATAAAAATTCAGCTGTGGACTTCGGGCTCCCCCATGGTAAATTTTGCCAGCCAACAAACCTGGAATGCGAAGTCACCAGCCCCCCACCCCATTTTATACTTTATACAGCCTAAATACACAGATTTACACGCTTTGAGGTAACACACAGAGCACAGACGAAGGAGCAGGACGCCAGGAATCAGGAAAATACGGGGTTTAATTAACAGGAGGGCACACAAATACAGACTGACAATACAATGACCGGACTGGGGAAACAAACTGAAACGCAGACTAAATGCATTGAATTAATGACAGCAACCAGAAACAGCTGATCACACGGGGATCCCACATGAGGTTAACGAGTGGCGTGGCACACGGAAGGAGCGGACGATCAGGGCAGGACAAAAAGTACCAATTTCAACCCTTTGGGGGTTTAATTACTAGTCACTGGGGCTGTACCCTAGCTGTAGGTAAGTATACTTCTTAAGGTACACATATACGGACTCTGAGGAATATTTTTGTACCATTTATGGTACATTAATGTTGTTTGTACCTTGGGGAACTAAACTGTATCAGGGCTGTACCCTTTTTCTGTCAGTGCACACTCTAATAGTGTTTTGTGTATGGTGTCAATCTTTTATTTTTAAATCTTTCAAATGTAAAACCAAGCACCCATGCTAACTATGGTCTTTCCAATACAGTCTGCTTTTCCAAACAGCATTAGGCTACATCCAGTCAGTGGGTGGTATTATAAAAATATGGCATTTAAAGCAACAGACTTCTTTAGTATGTTTAGGGCATCCACACTAGACAGGACCAGAGATAAAGGGCAAATAGAAGATAAATAAAAGGCTATATATATAAATAAAATACAGTCATGTGAAAAAAATTAGGACACCCTATTAAATATTTAATACTTTATTAAGAAATATCAAAATACCAGTATTAAATCTTCTTTCAAATTATATTTGTAGATAAAGGTGATGTAATTGCATCACCTATGCAAAAACAAGACACAAATTCACTTATTTAACAAAGGAAATTAATTCCCACTGAGGAAAAAGTTAGGACACCCTGTGCCCTAATAGCTAGTATTTCCCCCTTTGGCTGAAATAACCTCGGTGAGACGCTTCCTACTGTATAACCATCTATAAATCTCTGAAATCGCTGGCAGAAAGTTTTCCCCACTCTCCAATGCAGAATTCCTTAAGCGGTGTGATGTTTGAAGGGTGTCTTGCATGCACTTCCTCTTCAAATCACCCAACAGCATCTCAATAGGATTCAGATCCGGGCTTTGATTTGACCATTCCAGAACTCGCCATTTCTTTCTTGTAAGCCATTCCTTGGTAGATTTACCGGAATGTTTTGGGTCATTGTCATTTGTATGGTCCACCCCCACTTCAACTTCTGGACAGATGTTTGCACATTGTCCTCATGCACCCTCTGATATGAAGAATTCATAGTGGATTCTATGATGGTGAGCTGGTCAGGTTCTGCTGCAGCAAAGCAGCCCCAAACCATGACATTTCCAGCCCCATGCTTCACAGTTATACCAAACATGTCCTCTGTTACTGCACCCAAGCAAATTCAATTTCAGATTCATCTGTCCAAAGCACGTTATTCAAAAAGTCCCAGTCTTTGTCTAGGTGGGTCTCTGGCAAATTTCAGTGTTGCCCGGATGTTTTTTTGACAGCAAGGTTTTCCTCCTTGCACATCTCCCATGTAAATCAAACCTGTGCATCTCTTTCTGATGGTAGATGCATGTACCTTGACATCAACTGTGGCACGAGCTTCCTGTATGACCCGTGATGACATTTTAGGATTTTTGGAGCCTTCTTTAAGCATCTTGGGGTCTGTTCTTGGGCTGAATTTGATAGGACACACTTCCCTGGCCATGCTGGCAGTTGTTTTAAATGTTCTCTACTTGTAAATTATTTTCCGCACAGTAGATTGGCTGATTCCAAACTCTCTTGAGATCTTTTTATATCCTTCCCAGACTCATAAGCATCTACAAACTTCTTTCTGGAGGCCTCAGAGAGCTCTTTGGATCTCACCATGATTATAGCACTCATTTCAACAATCAACCAAACTAAATGTCTGTGCTTTAAATAAGACAGGATCCATCAAAAAGCTCTGTAACGATGTTCTAATCATTTTCCCCTGATATGGTGCCACCTGAATCTAATTCTAGGAATTTTAAATAGTGATGATTTTGCGCAAGCTGACCAATTAAATCTCACTACAAAAACTCACATCCTCTGATGATGCATCCTACTGCTATGTCTGATGATGAATTGTATAGGGAGCCTGACTTATCAGTGCATTGCAAAACAGGAGCTGCTTTGTAGTTTCACCCACTATTACATAATATTTAGGCTTGACTGAGGAAGTCTGGGTTTCTCTATGTAACTACGTCAATTGCTAGTGACTCGATGTCGGTGTGACCTCACAGCCAATTCATCAGCAATCCAGTAATGTTTTTACATCATGTTCCTAGTAACTGAGATCGATACAGTAAAGGTTACGACCTAAAATTATTATTGTTCTTAGTTTTATTTGAAGCCTTGAACGTGGCCATCTTTATTCCACTATGATACCTACCCTCATTCGTATATTCTACGTCTTGCATTACGTTTTATTGTCTTCAATCAAACTAATCAAATATGCCGTCTACCGAAGAAGCAAAAAAAAACAATCTAAACTAAAACGAATATAGCGCTATAAAACGTTGATTTTACACGTAATTTTCTGGAATTGTAAAATCTGCTAAAAAATATTTGCATTTTCCTTGATCGCAGAAATTATATATAGTCACAACGGCTACATTTTAC